CTTTCTTTCTTTCTTTCTTTCTTTCTTTCTTTCTTTCTTTCTTTCTTTCTTTTATACATGTTCTCTCAATGTTTCCTGTCATTTGCTATCTAGATGAAGCTGATCTCACAGAGATCTTCTTCTTCCTCCCAAGTGGTGGTACTAAGAACACAACAGGATCCTAGGAAATATTTTAAAGCTCTCCATATGATGAACATGCATACAGAATGTGAGATTATTTAGGATATACTGTGTCAAACATAGGATAAGTTAAAATACGACATCCCTGGTATAAATGTTAATTATTAAATAAATGTAGGTGGGAAATTAATACTGTGGCTATACTTCTTTATCCTAGCTAGCTCCACAATAAAGATCTAGCGAGATCAAGATTTCTTTTAAAGCTTTACCACAATACCTGTGCAATCATTTGATCTATTTTACACCCCTAACCTAATCTGGTTACCTCCTGCCAAAATACCCAAAATAATTTCATTTGGTGCCTTCTGTGCTTTAGCTGAACTCATATGGCCTACTTCTTTGTGGCTCAAACTGAATATCTCTCTCTCTACCTCCACCTCCACCTCCACATCCACATCCAACTCCACCTCCACTTCCACCTCTATCTCTATCTATCTCATTCCCCTGGATGGAAGATGTCTAGTTATATTCTCTCTTCTACTAAAGACATTGGATGATCAGCATGTATTGACAGGGTAAAGAATAAATGGCCAGAATTGAGACAGTATATTCTTGACATAAGGATTTCAATGCCATGTGTAAATTTAAACAAGATCTGAGAGCAGAGAAATTAGCATTTGTAAAACACAAGACATAATATTTAAAGAGTGTATAAAGGCATTATGTCTATGCCTTGGAAACTTATTAAACTTTCACCTACCTCAAGTTGTTCTTACTGAGAGGCCATGTACATTTTCAGAGGGATGATTCCAATGACATGACCTTCTACACCTATGTGGCTTGAAAAATTTACTCACAATTATTGACATCCCAAAATCTGCTATGGCATTTCAGATTCCTCAATTGATAATAACTAAGAACTGTGTGTACAATGTGTTTGAGAATTAAGCATTTGTTTATACACCTGCATTCAATATAGTTAGGTAAGAAGTAATGTTAATAGAAAGAAACAATGACCAGCTTACACCACAGTATGACAGTACTCCTGTCCTCAGATCTGTGACATTAGTGTTCTCAATCTTGAAATGCTTCTGCATCTTCATTGCCATAGGATTCTATACACAAAAGTACAGTGTAGTCATGTAAACTGAAATAAAATATCATCACTGGAAAATGTTTCCTTTGTTTTATTTTGTTTACAGTTAAATGTCTAATGGTTAATATATTTTTAAAAGATTATATTCATTGGATGTATACCAATCTGTATCATTCAAATTTTATGGCTTTACTTGCCAGATACTATGGATGAACAGGGAACCAAAAGGCATATATTAGTGCTATGGTTCCCTTGATTTGATTTATCTCCTAACCGTGAATACAATTCTATGCCACTGAATGAATGAGACATCGAAATCTGTCTCTCATGTGTTCAGCTGTCTCAATCATGCCTGACTATCTTCTATCATCTATCAATCCCTTACATTCACTGACACATCCATAAGAAGTAACAACACTTCCCTACTAATGGCTAAGAAGTAGTAAGTGAGAAACATGTTTAAAATATAGTGGCTCATACGTGTAAATTTCCTCTCCAGACAATGTGTTAATTTGTATTCCTGAATTTCTTTGCTTCCAAGTTCTCAAACTGACCACATCAGACCCATTTTCAGTGACCTCATAAGCAACATTATGTGAGACAAATTCCTTTCTTGTTCCAATGACTCCTAAAAGCAAGCAGTTCAGATATAGTGTTCCCTACTTTTCACAGTATACTGAAATAGGTTATGATAAATGCCCATGTCAACACTCAATATTACATTGCTCCATTTCTATGGATAAAAAGTTAGACTTCATCGTTGTTTTATTCTGCTTCTTCTGTACTCTTTCCTTTTATGTCCTGAATGCTATAAAAAATAGCAGGTGTAATTTTTTATTATTAAGTATATAAATGGTCAACATTTGTTATGAGGTACTGTTATTCATCTTCTTTGATACTGATAACTAACTGATGTGGACAGTAGCTCTATTTTTACTGTCAAGGCTAGAACCTAAAAACACAAAGTGTAAGTGATTCTGTAAATCCAAAAGCTCTTACTGTCAGAGTGGAGGCTTGAAGTTCTTGAAAATGGCTAGTGTGGTACAAATGCAGTTTACTCAGTCATAGCTCACAAATCCAAGACAGGTATTCTCAAGCATATTCCATGCTTCTATGCAAATTATGATCTTCACTTGACATTCTTTTTTCCTTTGTTGGTATTTTATTGAATGCTGTTGACTGTAGAAAGTTTTCATAATAGAAAAGAGACGTCACTTAGTAATTATAAAAACTTGCTGCTGTTGCAGAGAACCTATGTTTGGTTTTCAGCACCTATGTATTGCCTTCTCAACTGCCTGTAACTCAAGTTAGAGGGAGTTCCTGCAACATCTTCTGTCCTCTTCAGGGATTGCATTCTCATAGTGCCTATATATACATGGAGACAAAACATTCATGAACATAAAATCAAAATAGATAATAAATTAATCTTTTACAAGAGTTGTCACTTTGACATAACTTGATTTTATAAGCATAAGACAAGTGTGAATACAGCATTTGAAATAATAATAAAAAAAACAGTGGTCAAAGTATGATCTGACCTGGAAGTTGTCCCATCACAGTTTCATCTAACAAGACCTGGTGTTTTTAAGGTCATCAGAAAAAAATTCTTTCTTATCATTGAGGAGTAAAGGCTCTAGTGTCAATTACAGTTGAATTGTCAATGCCATTATTATGTACAAAATGCAACATGAAACATTAAAGTGTGATGAAATAGATTTAGATCAAATTATGCTACTAAAATTTTTATTTAAAGTTCTATACAAACTACATCTTATATTAATGAACATATTATGATAAAATTGACAATGAACTCTAGAGGAGATGCATTTGACATATAGAAACAAACCTTGAAAAAAATGTGAAAAGACAAACATTTTCCAAACTTAAATAAAGAACTAAACATGGAGACAAACAGCTGAGGAGTAGGGCCTTGACTCTCCATGCATATGGCCCTGTGTTCCAGCAGCAAGGAAAAGAAACATTAAGGGGAAGCATACATCAGGTTATGGTTAACATTAGATATGGCTAACCTCAAGACACATTTGGTGTCATTGATGTGATACTCCCTTTACCACTTCCTTTCAGTGATCTCTTCCCAAGTTCACGAGGGGGGCTTCAAACCAATCACTGTATAAGGGGTCATATAATATAATCATTTAATGTCTCTATAACTCATTGACATAAAAATTCACAAAAAATATATTTTACTCCAGAACATGTTCACATATTGTACCTTCCCATGATTGCCTGCTTATTATATTTTAATTCTACCATTTATTATGATGTGAATCCAGTGGAAGTTCACCTATAATAATAATACCTGCAATGTTATTCTACACATCCTGGAAGGTAAGTTGAATTATCACATTGATGTATTGCCACAGTCCTTCAGCATATTCACAGACAGGCTGCATTACACTGGTGTTACCCACAGTCATCCTCAGTGGGGGGCTGATATTACAGTAAGAACCAAGAAGGACTTGCACAAGGTTAGAAACCTTTCTTTGTCACTCACCTCTTAGCTGTTGAATTATTCTTGTGCCTTGTCTGTGTCTTCCGTAGAGGTGTTTCTAACCCAGGATTCCATTATGTGACTTGAGTACTTTCACATGCTTCTTTTCATTGCTGGCTCTACAACACATTTTGAAAGAAAGAATACTCACCTGGCTTCTTACCTCTGCAACACGCTGGACTCAGTGTACAGATCCTGACATCATAATAACCAGCAGTATGGAAGAGGGAGAGAGCTCAAGCCTGAGACAAAGGTCTGTGACTCTGTGACCTCATCTCCCTCCAGAATGACAATTTTCATTTCACCTGCAGTCACAATGGCAACGTTGGCTTAGGGAGACAACATCATTCATGAAACTTTTCCAAGTTGCTAATTTTTAAAAAGACACTTAAAAGTTTCTCATAAATATCTCTTAGGGTACAACGTGTTTTGCAAAAGTGCTAAGTTTTCCTGATCCCTGGAGGATCGCTGGCTCTAATGTAAGATGTTCTAGAAACAAAGGGAAAAATGTAGAACAACTAATACTTAAATGTCTCTGAGTATTTCATACATGTGTATGTGTTTCAGTGACATCTAAACTTCTCTATCTTTTTGACTTCTTAAAAATAGGAACAAGAAGGAGGAGGAGGAGAAGGGGGAGGAAGAGAAGAAGAAGAAGAAGAAGAGGAGGAGGAGGAGGAGGAGGAGGAGGAGGAGGAGCAAGGAGAGGAGGAGGAGCAGGAGGAGAAGAAAAGGTGGAAGGGTATCTGGTAGATGAGTATCTGGAAAGTGAGATCAGGAGCAAGGGCAACGTTTGGGATTTAAATTAGTTAATTAATTGATTAATTTACTAAAAATAAAAGCAGCAAAAACATTTATTCTACTAAAACATTGACTGTACTTTGTTACAATAGCATGTGCCTTGTACAAGGGATCTATGAAAGCATGTGTATCCTCTCAACTTTTGAGAAAAAAAAAAACATATTCTCTAGTCAAAAACTCTTCTGCTAAAAGTGGCACATCCTGACAACCTCCAGTCTGCTAGAGTTTTGTCATCCTTAGTCTTTCCTTTTCCAGGATTTGTGCATGCTGCCATAACAAGTGAAAACTCACATGCTAATACCCTGTTCTGTCTTTGCAAAATGTGTTTGATTGATATATGATGTTATGTACCAACTGAGGCTACTACACACTTTTTGTCTCTTCTTTCATGATAATTTCTGAGTCTTGAGAGGAAGAGGTATGGTATAAGTGTCTCACTTGTAGCTGTGACCTCCAGCAAATCTTAATCTCAGCAACTTTAATGATTGTAGGCTTCTGTATGAATCACACAGACTGTACCAAGAAGTTTCATTTACAAAAGCTGAGACAAGTACTATTCCATTTTTACAAAAACAAGAGATTAGGAATCAGTTTTCTTGTATGTATTTAGCAAAATAAAGGTAGTATGTTCTTCTGTTGGATCTGTGTCATCTCCAGCTACTTATTCTTGTTCCTTAAGTTATTGATATGTATGAGTTCCATCTTGTGAAATGAACCTTCAATTCAACCTTAAATTGATTGGTTACTCTTACTCCCTTCGTATTTATGACACTGTTGCTCTGAGTTTGTTGTGGCTATACCTGTCAGGGTCCACACCAGGGTAATATTTATCATTATTTCCAGCATTCTAAAACTATCCAGTAGACATAAAATTTTATGGCGACCAAAAGATTTCTTCATGCTCTGTTCCTAAAGTATATATTTTTTAATAATGGGCCCTTACCCTCTAGAAATAATTGATTCCTAAATATCACAAGCTGCACTAATTGATATTTGTTTTTTGTTTTTTGTTTTTCAGTTTATTTCCTAACTTTCAAATACTATCAAGAGAGTGCACAGCAGCTTCCAAATGAAAAAGGAGCTTTATCAACCATGGAAAAGGCAAGCGAATAATTTCAGAATTTACAAAGCACTACAGAAACTAAATGTCAAGGACAAGGAGTGTGTGTGTGTGTGTGTGTGTGTGTGTGTGTGTGTGTGTGTGTCAAAAGACATGTGAAAGGAGACTTTATATTCATCAAAGAGTAAAAATCCAGGAAGATGAAGTCTCAATTCTGAATATCTATGTCCCAAATGCAACAGCACCATATTCATAACAGAAAGGTTTTTAAAGTTCAAAACATGTATTGAGCATCAGCTTCAACACTCTACTTTCACTGATGCACAGGTCATTGAAACAGATACTAGAGAGAGATACACAAAACTAGCAAAAGTTATGAACCATATCGATTTAACACATATCTACAGAACATTTAACACCCCCAAAAAAGAATATACCTGCTTTTCACCACCACATGGAACAATATCCAAAATTGACAATATAACTGCATGCAAAACAAGCTTCAACAGATACAAGATGATTGGAATAATCCCAAGCATTCTGTCAGATCACTACACAGAATAAGACTGTACCTCAATAAAATCCAAAGCAATGGAAAGCCCACATACTCATGGAAACTGAAAATTCTCTGTTCGATGATAACTTTGTCACAGAAGAAGTAAAGAAATCAAAGGCTTCATAGAATTAAATGAAAATGGAGACAAGCAATGTTCAACATCCTTAGTCATCAGAGAACTGAAAACCAAAACGACCCTAAGATTCCACCTCATACTAGTCAGAATAGCTAAGATCAAAAACTTGGGTGATAGCTGATGCTGGCTAAGAGCAACACTTCTCCATTTTTGGTAGGACTGCAAGTTGGTACAATCACTTTGGAAATCACTCTGGCAGTTTCTCAGAAAATTGGACATAGTACTACCTGAGTGTGGAGAGCCGCACAGTGCCGCGCCTTAAAGATGGCACTGGTTTCCAGCTTCACCCGGCCTGATGGCGGGTACTCTCAGTGCCTTATTTGGCTTGGGCTGATGACCTGGCTTTGCTTCCGTATATGTGTGCCTATCTGTATTTGCCCTGTGGCATACTGGGGTTATCCGCCCATGAAGTATTTAGCCTGTGGGCAGGGGCTCCCCAGGGTCAGAAGTTTGTTAAAAGGGTCCTGAATAAACTACAGAAGAAGAGCTCGAGTGTCAAGTCTTCCTTGCAGGACAAGGGTGAACGCGACACCTGAGGACCCAGCTATACCACAACTGGGCATATACCCAAAAGATGTTCCAACATATATCAAGAAGACTAGCTCCACTATGTTCAGACCAGCCTTATGTATAATAGCCAGAAGCTGGAAAGAACCCAGATGTCCCTCAGCAGAGGTATGGATACAGAAAATGTGATATATTTACACAGTGGAGTACTACTCAGCTATTAAAAACAATGACTTCATGAAATCCACTGTCAAATAAATAGAACTTAAAAATATCATCAAACAAAGAAAGAAAGAAAATGAAGACATAGCTTAGCCAAACCTATGGGACACAACGAAAGCAGTGCAAAGATGAAAATTCATAGTACAAGTGCCTCGATAAAGAAATTGGAAATATCCATCACTTGCAACTTAACAGCACACCTGAAAATTCTAGACCAAAAAGAATCAAATACACCTAAGAGGAGTAGAAGATTGGAAATAATCAGCTCAGGGCTGAAATCAACCAATTATAAACAAAGAGAACAATACAAAGAATCAAAAAAAGACAAAAAACAAAAGCAAAACAACAACAATACAAAACCCCAAGAGCTGATTCTTAAGAGAAAATCAATCAGACTGCTAAATCCTTAGCCAAACTAACTAAAGGGCACAATGACAGTATCCAAATTAACAAAATCAGAAGTGAAAAAGTAGATCTAACAACAGAAACTGAGAAAATTAAAAAAAGAATTCATCAGATCTTACTGCAAAATTCTATACACAACAACAATGGAAAAATCTACATGAAATGGATGATTTTTTAGACAGACACCACATACCAAAGTTAAATCAAGATCAATTAAGCTACGCAAACATTCTCATTATCCTTAAGGAAATCGAAGCAGTCATTAAAAATGTCCAAAAAACAAAAACAAACAAACAAACAAAAAAAAACAAAACTCAGGGCCATATAGTTTTGGTGAAGATTTTTATGAGATCTTCAAAGAACCATTAATGACAATATTTCCCCCAAACAATTCTACAAAATGGAAACAGAAGAACTACCTAATTCATTCTATTTTTCTTCAGTTATTCTGATATCTAAAACACACAAAGACCCAATAATGAAGAAGAAATTCAGACCAGTTTTCTTTATGTATATCAATGCAAACATACTCAATAACATTCTCCCAAACTGAATCTAAAAACACATCAAAATGATCACTCACCTAGGTCAAGTAAGCTTCATCACAGGGATGCAGGGCTGGTTCATTTTTTGAAAATCCATCAATATTATCCACAATATAAACTATCTTAAGAGAAAATAATCACATGATCATCTCATAAGACATTGAAAAAGCCCACATATCTATGAACAATTGATCTTTGACAAGGAAGCCAAAACCATATATTGGAAAATTGAAACCATCTTCAACAAATAGTGTTGGTCTAACTGGTGGTCTGCATGTAGAAGAATGCAAATTGGTCCATTTTTATCTCCTGATACAAATCTCAAATAAAAGTGGATAAAAAACCTCCACATAAAACCAGATACACTGAATCTAATACACTGAATCTAATGGAAGAGAAAGTGGAAAAAAGAGGTTTGAAAAAGTTGGCATGGGGAAAACTTCCTGAACAGAATACCAATGACTCATGCTCAGAGATCAGCAATTGACAACTGTGACCTCATAAAACTGAAAACATTCTGTAAGGCAAAGGCCAGGATCAAATGGCAGCCTACCAACTGGGAAAAGATCTTTATCAACCCTACATTAGATAGAGGGCTAATATCTAAAATACACAAAAAGCACAAGAAATTAGACTCCAGAGAACCAAAAAATATTAATAATTAATAATAATTAATAAATTAATTAATTATTAAAATAAACAATATTAAAATTGGGACACAGGCCGCCGCCGCAGCTGCCCTTCTCCTGGCAGCAGCCGCTGTTGCCACCACCGCTTCTGGAGGCATGGAGCTGAGCAGAGGCAGCCGCGGAGCAGGAGCTCCACCATTCCGCTGGCTGCTGAAGACTCCGGACCGGTTCGGCCGGCGCCTTCCGCGCCCCCGACCCCAGAGTCTGGCCGCCGCCGCCGCCGCGCTCCTCCTCCTGCTCGGGGCCGCCGCGCTCCTCCTCCTGCTCCGGCGGCCCACAGCCAGCTGCTTCCCGCGCCTGCCGCCTCGCGCCAGGCGCCGCGCCGCCACCACTGCCACCCTCAAAGCCCCGCGGCCCACCCTGGTCCCATCCGCCAGGCCCGGCCAGGCCACCTGCAGTCGGACCCGGGTCTTCCCTGAGGTGAACAGCCTGAGGAGCCGCGAGTACTGGGACTACGAAGCCCACGTCCTGAGCTGGGGTAATCAAGATGATTACCAACTGGTTCAAAAACTTGGTTGGGGCAAGTATAGTGAAGTATTTGAGGCCATTAACATCACCAACAATGAGAGAGTGGTTATAAAAATTCTCAAGCCAGTGAAGGAAAAGAAGATAAAACGAGAGGTTAAGATTCTGGAGAACCTTCGTGGTGGAACAAATATCATTAAGCTGATTGACACTGTAAAGGACCCTGTATCAAAGACACCAGCTTTGGTATTTGAATATATCAATAATACAGATTTTAAGCAACTCTACCAGATCCTGACTGACTTTGATATCCGGTTTTATATGTATGAACTACTTAAAGCTCTGGATTACTGCCACAGCAAGGGAATCATGCACAGGAATGTGAAACCTCACAATGTCATGATAGATCACAAACAAAAAAAGCTCCGACTGATTGATTGGGGTCTGGCGGAGTTCTATCATCCTGCTCAGGAGTACAATGTTCGAGTTGCCTCGAGGTACTTCAAGGGACCAGAGCTCCTGGTGGACTATCAGATGTATGATTACAGCTTGGATATGTGGAGTTTGGGCTGTATGTTAGCGAGCATGATATTCCGAAAGGAGCCATTCTTCTATGGGCAGGACAACTATGATCAGCTTGTTCGAATTGCCAAGGTTCTGGGGACAGATGAGCTATATGGGTATCTGAAGAAGTACCACATAGACCTAGATCTACACTTCAATGATATCCTGGGACAACATTCACGGAAGCGCTGGGAAAACTTTATCCATAGTGAGAACAGACACCTTGTCAGCCCCGAGGCCCTAGATCTTCTTGACAACCTCCTGCGGTACGACCATCAACAGAGATTGACCACCAAAGAGGCCATGGAGCACCCATACTTCTACCCGGTGGTGAAGGAGCAGTCCCAGCCTTGTGCTGAGAACACAGTGCATTCCAGTGATCTCACTGCAGCGCGATGAAGCCTGGGGAATCGGTGGTAATGCTGCACTGATGCTTGCCAATAAAACCAACCAAACAAACAAAAACTTGAAGGAAACTACAGTGTGATAAAAAGAAATTCTAATCATTCCTTCTAAAGGCAAAGAAAAGTAAAGACCTAAAGTCTGTCAAAAGCAAGAAACTCCCCAGTACTAGTCTACAGGGAGCTGCACTGTGCGGTGTGGCAGAGCGCATAGTTGAGGATCTGAGGGGACTCTCCCTTTGGAATGCATGGGAGGTGAGAAGCTCGGAGTTGTTGTCCATGTACCTGCCTTTAACAGGATACCACTGATGAATTAACCCGTTCGGTCAACAAGCTCTGAATATCTGACTTCCTATCTATTCCACTGTGGTCTGATTTTCTTCTGTGAGAATTCAGGCTCAAGTTTTAGCAAAAATCAGCTGTCTCTTCTGACACACCAGCCTCATTTACAAGAAAAAAAAGGATTAAAATAGTCACAGTATTTTTTAAGCTCTTTTACATATTCATGTGTTATGTATTTTTTTATGACATGAGCTCTTCAGGAAATGTACCTCATTCCTGCAGTTTGCTTCCGAATGTACTCATTTGGAAGCAAACTGCCCTTGTTCTCACCATATCTTCTTTGGTGTCAGAAAATGGCACTGTAAATCTTGAGATGCCATGAACAGGTCCCAGGCTCATTAGATGTCCCATGCTATGTGCAGAACTTGGGACTCACCTTTATTGATTTGCCTAAATATTGAATCTTGTTGTCTTTTTTTTCTTTAACTTTTTCTCCCGGCCTTCTAAGGAAAACCTCACCATTTCCCAGCACATCTTTGTGAGGGCACTACAATGCTTCACTTTAAAACAAAGACTATTGTCTGGGCAGTGGTGGTGCATGCCTTTAATCCCAGCACTTGATAGGCAGAGGCAGGCAGACTTCAGAGTTCGAGGCCAGCCTGGTCTACAGAGTGAGTTCCAGGACAGCCAGGGCTACACAGAGAAACCCTGTCTCGAAAAACAAAAAACAAACAAACAAAAAGACTATTTTTATTCACAACCATAGCTACAGCTGGAAAGTTAGTCTTCAGGCAGGTCAAAGAGGGAGGAAACCTAACATGCTTGAGCTATCTACCACATCACACTCAGGGTTTCTTCAGTAACTATTTAATAATGCCATACATTTTTATAAGGTTAGATTGTTTGAAACATCTGTTTACATTCCAAATTTCAATATACTTGTATTTGTATTGGTAAAAGAAAATAAAATTGGGACACAGAGCTAAACAAAGAACTCTCAACTAAGGAATCTTGAATGGCTGAGAAGCATGTAAAAATGCACAGATTTTTTTTCTATCTAAAGGAAATGCAGGGACAATGATAGGAGCAGAGACTGAAGGAAAGGCCATTTGAAAACTGCCCGACCTAGGAATCCAAGTCATCTGTAGACACTAAACCCAGACACTATTGCTGATGCCAAGAAGCACTTGCTGATAGGAGCCTGGTATAGCTGTCCCCTGAGATTCTTTGCCAGAACCTGAGCAATACAGGCACTTAGGCTTGCAGTCAACCATCACAGAGAACATGGGTACCCCAATGAAAGGCTTAGGGGAAGGACTGAAGGAGCTGAAGGGGATTGCAACCTCATACAAAGAATAATAATATCAACCAACTAGACACTACAGAGCTCCCAGGAACTAAATTACTAACAAAAGAATACACATGGAAGGACACATGGCTCCAGCTGCCAATGTAGCAGAGGGTTGCCTTATCTGGCATCAATAGGAGGGTAGATCCTTGGTCCTGTGGACACTTGATACCCCAATGTAGAAGATTTCTTGGGTTGGGAAATGGGAGTAGGTGGTGGGGAAATTCCCTCATAGAAGCAATGGGGAGGGGGAATTGGATAGAGGGCTTGTGGAGGTGAAACTGGGAAAGGGATAACATTTGAAATGTAAATAAATAAAATAGCCAACAACAACAAGAAAAACTAAAAAGGAATGTTCAACATTCGTTGTCATTAGGGAAAAACAACTTAAAATGACCCTTAGATTCTATCTCACACCATTCAGAATGATTCAATGATAGCAGATGCTGGTGAGCATGTGGAGAAAGAACACTCCACCATTGCTGATGTGATTGGAAGCTGTTAAAACCATTTTGGAAACCAGTCTGGTAGTTTCCAGATAATTGAAAATAGTTCTACCCCAAAACTCAGCTATACCTCTACTGGGCGTATACTCAATAGATGCTCCAAGTATAACAAGAACACATGCTCTACTATGTTCATAGCAGACTTATTTATTTTAACCAGAAGCTGGAAAGAACCCAGATATCCCTTAATGGAAAACTGAAAACAGTAAATTGGATACCTTTACACAGTGAAATGCTTCTCAGCTATTAAAAACAATGACTTCATGAATTTACCAAGCAAATGGATGGAGCTGGATAATATCCTGAGTGAGATAACCCCAACACAAAAGAACACACATGATACATACTAACTGATAAGTGGATTTTACCCTAAAAGATCAGAATACCCAGGATACAACTCACAAACACTATGAAGCTTAAGAAGAAGGAAGACCAAAATGTGGACATTTCAATCCTACTTAGAAGGGGGAACTAAATATTCGTGGGAAGTAGAGGGAGGGAGCAACCTAGGTGGGAAATATGCTGTGAAGGGGAAAATGGAGTTGAGTAGAGAAAGGAGAAAAGTCAAGAGGGTCAGGAAATCAAAAAGAATATGTAGCAGTGGAGCAGGGTTGGAAATGAGGGGGCTATAGAAAATCCTAGAGGCCACAGCAGCTAGAAGTTCCCAGGACCCAACAGGGATAACATTAGCCAGATTATCCAACAAAGAGGAGATAGAGCCTGTACAGTCCACTTCCGGTAGACAGGCACAGACCCCAGCTGAGGGATGGTGCCACCCTCTGGTAGGGGAAATGATGGCCACCCCTATATAAATGCTGGTGGCTGTTCAGCCACAAAATCATCTACTTAAGGAGAACCTAACTGAGGACTACCTGAGAGACTAAAGATTCATCAAGCAGGCAAGATCTTTAGAGGAGAAGCTTTCTTGGGACCAATGGAGTACCAGTGGAAGGGGAGGCTATTAAAGAAGCTTACAACAGTGTTCAGATGAGCTTTCTGTGTCATTTCTCACCTGCTCACAGAGTCTGTGTCATTTATTCTGTGCTACCTCACCTTCACCCACAAGAGCAAGTAGGACCAGGCATAGAATACTCCAGGAAATAGACAACATCCACCCACCTCAAAAATTTTAACCCAGAATTGTTCCTGTCTAAAGGAAACCAGGGACATACAATAAACCACAGACTGAAGGAAAGCACATACAGAGAGAACTTCACCTTGAGATTCATCCCAACTGCAGTCACCAAACCTAGACACTATTGCTGATGACAAGAAGTGCTTGCTGAAAGAAACATGATATAGCTGTCTTCTGAGAGGTTCTGCCAGCACTGGTTAAAACAGATATTCACAGACAACCATTGAACTGAGCCTGGGGAGCCCAATGGAAGAGTTAAGGAAAGGACTGAAGGAGCTGAAGGGAATTGAAACCCCATAGGAAGAACAACAATAGCAACTAACCAGACCCCCAAGAGTTCCCAGTGACTAAACCATCAACCAAAGAGTATACATGAATGGGTCCATAGTTCCAGCTATATACATAGCAGAGGATTATTTTATCTAGCATCAAAAGGAAGGGAGGCCCTTGGTCTTGTAGAGGCTTGCTGCCCTAGTATAGAGGGATGCTAGAGTGGCAAGCCAGGAGTGGGTAGGTGGGTAAGGGAGCACCTTCTTAGGCAAAGAGGAGAGGGAATGAAATGGGAGGTTGCAGAGGGGAGACCTGGAATGTGGACAACATTTGAAGTGAAATAAATGAAATAACAAGAAAAGAAGAACATTTGGATGAACAATTCTTCCTGACCTCATGCTGTACTACAGACCAATAATGATATACAAAACCCTATTGTATTGGTAAAGAGACAAAAATGTTGATCAAAAGAATAGAATTGGAGACCCAGAAATAAACCCATGTATCTAGGGACACTTAATCTTTGACAAAGAAGCCAAAATCATACACTGGAAAAAAGGAACCATTTTCAACAAAAGGTGCTGATCTAACAGGTGGTCTGCATGTAGAAGAGTGCAAATTCATCCATATTCACCACCTTGCGCAAAGCTCAAGTCCAATTGAATCAAGGACATTAACATTAAACCAGGGACACTGAATCTAATAGAAATGAAAGTAGAAATAGCTTTGAACACTCTGAAACACGGGAAATTTTCCTGAAAAGATCACCAATGCCTTGGGCTCTAAGATCAACAAGTGACAAATGGAACCTCATAAACTTGAAAACTTCTGTAAGGCAAAGGACATTGTCAAGACAGAACAGCAACCCACACATTGGAAAAAGATCTTCACTAACCGTAAAATCAATTGAGGTGTAATATACAAAGAACTCAAGAAATTAGACTCCAGAAAACCAAATAACCTAATAAAAAAAAATGTGATACAGAGCTGAACAGAGAATACCCAACTGAGGAATCTTATATGGCCAACAACCACTTATAGAAATGTTCAACATACTTAGTCATCAGAGAAGAGCAAATCAAAATGACCCTTGGATTCCACTTGACACCAATAAGAATGGATAAGATTAAAAATTCAGGCTAAAGCACAGACAGACAGTGTGGAAAAAGGAACACTCCTCCATTGCTGATGGGATTACAACCTTGTAAAACTACTCTGGAAATCAATCTAGTAGTTCCTCAGAGAACTGGAAATAGTTCTCCCTGAAGATGCAGGTATTCCACTCCTGAGAATATACACAAAAGTTATAGCAGCCTTAATTGTAATAGTCAGGAGCTGGAAAAAACACAGACATCCTGCAACCAAAGAATGAATAAAGAAAATATGGTTCATTTACACAATGGTGTATTACTCAGTTATTAAAAAGGAATACATCATAAAGTTTGGAGGCCAATGGATGGAACTAGAAAATATCAT